CGTGAAACATACATTTCCTGACCATTCTCTACTGGTCAGTTAACTAAACCAACTAAGGAACCCAAAACTGATAAACTACTCCCCCTTATTGGGTATAAGTTACAGTCTTATTCCAAGCAGCTACACCAGCATTTCTTCCTACCTATGGACCATTTTGTATCAGCAAATTGATTTATAATAAATACATTTATGTGTCATCCGGATTCCTTTGAGTCTTTTCGCCTTTGCTGGAATGTTTTGGACACAAATTCTACAAGGAAAACCGTGCTAGACAAAGTTTACACTGTATTGCAGTAGAACAAGTAAACACACTGAGCTCTGGACAGGAAAAGAGCGAATTACAGGAAAAACCATTGACGTCTGTGGTTGAGGTTGCGCTAATAATCTTTTTTCTCATCATCTCATCGATCCATTTCAGACTTAGCGGCTGCCAGATTTCATATGCAAAGTCACGAGCTGAACAACATCATCAGCCTTAGACCTCTCCTTGGTGTCTGTTTAAATATTTCACAGCTAGATGATGTTTGCTAAACACACAATTTCAGGGCAATTACAATAATGTGTGTCATTATGGCGTCGAGACAAAAAGACAGGCCATTGAGACCACTAATAATAGGGCGATTGTAAAGACAAAATATAACGCCTGTTATTTATTTCATATAAAATGGATATTAAAGGGGAAATATTCTGCTTCTACTTCTATGCAAATTAATATGGTTCACTGAGATCAAAATTACACTTTGGTGTCAAAGACATAAAGGACTGAGCACAACTGGATTACTTGCAACCTGTTTAACAGCCCTGTTCTAATTGGCTGGTTTCTGTGACCTCATCTTTAATGGTAATGAGCTAATGCATGCTCCACCCTTCTCTTATGGCTTGGGAACCCACCCATGGCAACTGTTGAGCAGTGAGACAGAAATGTGAGCTGGACGGCGATCCCCGCCCAAGAAGAAGACCGTCCAGAAAAAGCTGGATGAGCAGCGGTGCTCAGCTTATGGAATGTGAGGTGGTAAAAATATGTATATTAAGACATTTACAAGATCAACTTTTCATAATATGTCTGGTTTTTAGGTTAAGGTCGAAGTATAAAGGCATGGAAATCCAGGTAAAAAGATATGAAAAAATGTTACATTTTTTTAGATGTTTTGGAAAAGAATGACAAGCAGGTAGAAAAACGTGTCTGGATTATCCACTGCTGAGGAAAATCATGAAGTGACGATTTGCCTCAGATTAAACGGGGAGGGGGCGCGGGGGGGATTCTGAATCTATTAATCAACTGGAGAAATGGGAAAAACAGGATAGCAGTGCTGAGTGTAAATTGTGCTCATCTGTCCTGAATATGCCAAATCTATTTGTTCTACAGGCGGTAAGAGTGGCCTTCCACTAGTCTCTGAATATTTACCGAGGCTTAGTAAATCCCCAAGAGGGAAAACTCCCACCCACACTCCCCGCACAAGGATTAAACCTATAAGCTTCATCTCACACCTTCGTACACCCACACACGTCCACTCAAAACAACATTACACTTTCCCAAACCCACAAGTTCCAGCGTCCCCGTGGTATTACACAAAAAACAAAGACTGCTTGGTATTGACACCAACTTTGTTTGACATTGCTAGAGGCTCAAACGTTGTCATGAGTCACAAGAAACTGATCTAAGAGCAGATGTTATGAGCTGGCCTCCCACAGATATTTTATATACAGTTGTTGAATAAGGGATTAGGAGAAGGCAGCATTGATCCTGTTAACACCGTGACGATCATCCGTTCTGACACTTGTGGGAGCTGGGATTATTTTCTTTTAGTGAGAAAGTTTTGTTGAAAGTCTGGTTAACGGCTACATTAGAGTCCGGAAAAAAATCTTGTCTTTTATCAGGGAGCAACATACGTGTCTCCTTTAGAGTGAGGTGAAGGGGTCGAGCACAAAAAAGGACACATCCGACCTGTTTTATTTCTAATAGGAATCTTTAGAGCCGGCGTCAGCAACTATATTTGTCGGAGGGCCAGCTTTTTTCTCACAGGCTGCTGGTTGATGATTACTGCTCAAGAGGGTTTTTATGGCCATTAAAATGCTGTATTTTTTGTTGTTATTAGATAAAACTATACCGAACGAATCAATCTCTGATTGTACAGTATATACAGTAGAAAATGAAAGAGAATTCTTTCACACAATGACCAGATGCTTGACAAAACTACACTGGCTGTTTAATGGTTAATGCTGTGCCGCAGCACTGGGGAGGTTCAGACTTGATGAATGCAAGGTCAAAGTGGAAATCTCTAAGTGAGTTTCAAACATCTGGCAGCTGCGACACTCCTCAAGGAGACGGTTTCAGCTAAACCACTGCCAAATCACACACGCTCCACAACACCCACCCACTCACAAACATCGGCACAGTTTCATTTTTTTGCCGTTTTTTAACCAAGTCTACAACATGTCTGTGCACGTTTGCTGGTCCAATTCTGTCTGTTCACCAGCAGGTTATTCTGCGGCGTTACATGGAAGGATGGAGGAAAGTGAAGTGTTGACAGTGAGGGATGATGATGGGAGGGATATATAAAAAAAAGTGAGTGAAGGCTGGACATATTGGTGCTATGGTGTATGATGAAATGGAGCTGCAACAACAGAAAAGAATAATTGAAAGAATGGTGGACAGTTTCAGGACATGAGCAAGGACTTTAATTTTAGTATTACTACTCAATCTTTTTTAACTCTATTTCTTACTCTTCTGAAGTAAAAAAATGTAAATACCATATTGTTTATTTATCCTTTTGACTGACTGATGTGCTGAGAGACTAGCACTAGCATCACATTATTATCTATTAAATAAATTCTTTACAGTCCAGCAGCTGAAGCTAAATTCTAAATTTGATTAAAAAATACACTCGGAAGGAATTTTAATTTTTAATGTTACAATGATTCTCTTCCCTTGTTGGGTGTTTTATTTGGCTGCAGGTCATTCTTAATCCTGTACATGATTTTCTAAGAGGTTTCTCATGAATAGAAAACCACAGCTGGTTTATCAGATACTAATGTCCAACATGTTTTTTTTATCTCAAGAGAATTAAAAAATGTTTTGTTCTTTTGTATTTGTCATATCTCCTCGAGTCCATGTCGACCGCAATGTGTCTCAAACACGTCAGCTCACAAAAGGCACACTGACACCAAAGAGCCAGGGGAATTAGCCCTTTGTAGGAAATGGCTTCCCTGAGGCCATTTTGAACATGCCAGGCCATCTTCTCCCTCTCTGTTCCATCTTTTCCTGAGCTTATCCAGGGGACATCTCTCTCTCTCTCCCTCTCTCTCTCTCTCTACATAAGGATCATAGAGCTGAGCTGACAGGGACAAGCCATCCCATCTGATGATTACTAAACACTGTGTGGCCGGGGAGCCAAGCAGACACACTAGAAAAATGACAAAAGTCTAGAGACCTCAGGTTCAAGCATCGACAGTATTTTACTGAAAGGTTTTTTTTAAAAAAAACAGTGAATGCTGAAATATGCTGCTTAAACTTCATTATTGTTGCAGAAGCCAATGTCACAATGGCACGTGGAGAAAGAAGGTGCAGTACACAGTACATCAGTCATTAGTGACAACCATGACACCAGACTAATCCTTATCATTAAGAGTGGAGGAGACTCTTCTCTGTACATTAAGGACACGCAGACTAATCCTTGTGGAGGAGACTCTTCTCTGTACATTAAATAAGCTAATTATTTATCTCAGTGAATCGACATTTTCTGACCAGGAAGTACTGGATATAAAACACCTCAACTACTCCTGTTGCATGCGTTTTTTATTTTTAATGATGCATGACAATTGCTCAGCTCAAATTAAACAATCGAAGATAAAGTGAAGGTAGAGTACAGTATAATTAAGAACCTCTGAGTGCTGAATTGATCTTATTGGCAGAAGTAATAGGTGGAGCCAGTTAAAAGCAAGAAAGAATGCGATGCTTTCTGAACAAACAGGTTGAACTGAACTGAATGGAGAGACTAGGACCAGATCCCAAAAAGCAAAGTAAACACAGTTATCTAAGCAAACTGTCCATTTAAAAGCCTAGGCCGACCATATGGCTCAGAGAGATTGCTATTACAGTGTTTCAGCCACTACATGTACGTTAGCCTTAAGCTGCTGCTTAGTAATTGCTGCCACTGCTACAGATGTCAGAGGCACATTAACAGTCTACCTGTTACTGTTAGTATTGTTACTGTTAGTAACAATTAACATCACTATTAGCTCAATACTAATGTATCAATGTCTTCTTCTACTGAATACAAATGTATAAAAGTAAAGGGAAATCAACTGACCCCCATTCATTGGGATGCGTCAAACTTGAAATGCACAGACGTCAACTTACTTTCAACAGAAGCTCTTGATAGCCAGCCTCACTGTATTTGACGAAGCATGAGGGGAAAAAAACCTGGTCCCAGATCAGCCATTGATGATAATTGCATCCATTTAACTCCTGCCAAACCTGCTTCATCCTCTTGCTTCTAATCCCACTAATAAATCAACCCCTTGTACCTGATATTGGACTGTTAGTACATCATATAAAGACCTGGACTGGGCCTCTCTTCACACTGATTGAATGGCTACTCTAGCCCTTCTGATCACTGAGGTGACTTCACTCCATTGAATTAGCACAAAGCCTTCTGGGTTATAGGCTCCGGGGCCACGCTGGAGCCTCAGTGGTGAATATTAGATTGCACACCTCCAGATCTCATTAAAGGCAGCAACAGGACAATGACTGCATCTCCAATGAGAGCAACAGCTATCAGGCATCCTGGATCCCTGTTGGTTTTACTGATGTGATTGATTTTCCTTGTATTTGTTAGTGAAAAACACAAGAGGTACTGCAGTCCTTTAAAAAAAAAAAAAAATAACGAGGGCCTCCCCTTTGTTGTACACATTTAGAGGCCTATTGCCTGCATTATACTCTCCATTACACAAACAGGTCATACTGTATGCGAGTAAGACGCAGAGGGTCAATCACTTACAGTATCTTAGGTAGGAGTGGTTTCTTCTTCGTCTTCTCTTTCAAACAGCAGCTCACTAGAACAGAAAACCAAAAGCAGAGATTTAACCAATGAAATCTGAACAGATGACAAATGAAGAGGCGTCAGTGAGGTTTTCAAATCAAAACAGTGCAGAAGTTATTAACCATGAAGAGTTAGCACAGGTTTCGTGGAAAATTACTGATGCCTGAAGTCATTAAAGATAAGGCTTTAATTAAACTGCTCAATATCAGTTAAATGTACAACTGTCCACTATGTAGGTGACAGGAAGTAGGTTAATAATGTAGTGAGGCAGCATGTGGGCTAAAGATTTTTCCTTCAGCTGTAATTAATTGTTGAATGTGCAGAACATGTCTATGATCATTGAAGAATTAGCATCTCTCTCTCCCCTGTAGAGGGGGCTAAAAACAGGAAACAATATCAATATTTACATAAATGTCATGTTTTTTGCCTAACCAAAAAATAAATATTGTTCGATTGATAACTAAACACAAAAAATCAGTATGACGTCTGCTCTGGCAGTTGTGAAGGATATAAACAGCCACTAATTAGCAGCTGATATTTACTCATAGTCAGGGGGGAGCCTTGAAAGCAAAATCTCTCCTTTTACCTAAAAGGTGTTTCGTCAATAAGCTCCAGTCAATTGGGTCTGAAAAACAAGCGGATCCCTGTCTGTCCACAGGGGGATATGGTGCATAAAAAGACTCCAAACCCTGGGGTTACCTGTCGGCCCCCCTGACCGTCACAGACAACCACACACTGAGGTAGACACGGCCTGTAGAGGTTTCTATTTCTAGAGTTAAAAGGTTAGAAACTAACATTTTTTTAAAAAGGTGAAGGGGTTTGAGATCTCCAAAGCCTCAGAGTCGGAGGGTCATTGTAATAAAATGTCAGGTTGCTAGTCACCGGTGTTGTCGAAAACATTTTTATTTCTGTTTTTGAAAGCATTTTTGTTTTTTTTAATAACCAAACTAAAGGAACTCCTCCGACAACAGATGTCAGAAATGCTCTTTACCAAGTCTGGTATTTGGTTTATATAAATTTAAATGCTCTATTAATGTAAAAGCTCTGCTCATTTTCTGTTCAACTGGCTGTTTTTTCTTATAAAGTGTAATTTTCTTTCTCAGTTTTTTAATATAACTTATTTTACACCATGTCAGTTTGAATTTTTAGTACAGAAATATTTCTTTCCACTAGACAAGTATATTTATTAAAATTCTATTAACATTGCATATGACAAACATGAGCCTGGAATATTAAATGTTTCCTTTGTCAACAATATATCAAATTCATCATACAGATGCACACACAGTGTCTGTTTCTGTATCTGCTTCACTTAGTTTCTACTGAATTATCCTTGCACATGGATTTTCAGGATACATAACTATAATTGCTATATGTATTCAAGCTCCATGTCTATTACCGGTGACAGTCAGTAAGAATGGCTCAGCCTTTCTAATTTCCCCTGAATCGATTCAGCTCTGCCCATGTCTGTAAAAAGCTGGAGGAATAATTAAATGTTTTGTCTGCTCCAGATCTTTTTCTTCTTCAGAGAAGAATAGATGGGTCTCTGCTGTCATTTACAGTTTGATCATGTGCTCAATTCAGCCACGACCTGTCAGTCAACATTTCTCTTTCCTGACATCAAAACATTGGATAATCACATTGCTGCAGATGCTGAAGAGGCAAACAGCCTGGAAAGCTGTGCCGACTAATTGTGTTGCCTCAGATGTCACTGTCATCAGACTAAATTGCATGACATTTAACAATAAACTGCACTTTTTCCCATTTACTTAGCTGAATAGGCTAAAGTAAAATCAATTATCAATTTTGACTATAATACAAATGTAAAATTACAAGGAATTTATGTGAGAGGAACATATGGAAATTGAAAATAGGCTGCAGAGCATCCCATCAGCAACAAAACAAGGCTGCTTTGAAACCTCAGCTTCTTTCCTCAGACAACATTTGTGAGAAGTATGTGTGAGACTTTTTTTTTTTTTTTTTGAAAATCTCCTCCATCAGTGATGGCGGGGAGGTGGAGCAGCAGCTTGTTCCCCAGATGGAGGTTGTCGACCATGTGACAGACAAAAGCTGCTTCAGAGCACGCACGTCAACCCTGAACAAAATGTCCATGCAACTCAGAGAATATGAGTGTGTCAACAAAAATGTCCAAAATCAATCAAACCAAACCTCAATGCCCAGAACCTGGGAACATTATGGTTGAGAAAATAAGTTAGAAAGAATGAAAACAGGACATTGCCACAGAGCGTTATATAAAGAAAACGTCTTTGTTTACATTGGCTGGGTCTACGCTTTGGATTGGATTTCTTTCTTTTTTCATTCTTTTCTTTCTTTTGTTTGTGCAATCATGTACAAAGTGTGACTGCTTGCTAAATACCATGAGATATTCATCTATTAAGGAATAAACAAACCAAGTGAGATGATATCTCTTGGTTGAATGAATGTTGTTTAGGACCTGGATGGACTCCACAGAAGGCTTTAATAACAGTGTACAGAGGAGAATGTCCTTGACACTGGCACTCAAATCAGACAGCATAACAACGTTCAGATGGTCTCCCTGCATGATGATGATGATACAGCACTGGCAGCGACCATCTCTCCTGTGCTCTGCCCTTGAATAATAAAAACAAACATTTACCCAGTGAATAAATACTTTCACTCTTCAAACTTTCGTCACATTCTGCGGTGGAACTTTAAAAATGACTAAGGGATTTTACTGTGTATTAGTATTACTGTCACCCTGGCCACTTGAGACACAACAGTCTGCATAAGTTGAACCCTCACATGGTTTATTGGAGATGACAACTGTGACGATGACCTGCACAACACAAGGTTAGCAACAACTTCCCTGGTCATGATGACCTACCCTGGATCTGACAACCTATCAAAGATGGTTTAGGTTTTACCCATCAAACAGATGTCAGTGTTGGGTTTTAGTGAAAATAAACAAGGCTGCATTTTTTTTTATCGGTGGAACAGATATTGTGCCTCCTGTCTGCCAAAGATTGATCAGAAATAACTGCTCTTGTTTAGATTCACAGGCCTACAGAGGCTGCAGTCTGGACAACAGAGCCATTTGTACTTCACTTCCACACGTTCCACATACAAATGGTTTGTCTTTGCCACTTATTTGAACTACGTCGCTCCAACAGAGGGGAGATCATTATTCCGTGATAGTGCTTTAATCATATTTAAACGCTTGGTGCCAAGAACTGTTTATTACAGCTATCACTCGAGCTGCAATCATAAGTGATGACTAATAAATGACCCATTGTATAGTCAAACCACTCTATAGATGGGGGTTGAGAAATATGTCTTGTAAAATACCGTAACCATCTGTAGATATTTTATCCTTGCACTATAGAAAAATTTTTTTTAAACCAAAGTTAAAGAAAAAAACTGATCCAAATCAGGTCATTTTAAACACATTACCGTTAGACTTTACATCACGGGTAACTGCATTGGTCTAAAGGCCATAATTGGTCTGGACAGACACCTGGACAGGTGACTCCAGATGGCCCCAAGATAAAAAGTCGACACAGATAAAATGAAAACTAAACTGGTATCATTAGTCCAAACACATAAACATAAAGATATATATTATTTACAAGCAAGTACAATTTGCCCAATCAGGTATTACTTTGCATCAAAGCAGAGCGGCTACAAGATGGTGCCTAATTAAATAGGCAGTGTAATTATGCCTCGGTAGAGCAGAACAACCTTTCTGATGTTAATGTGAAAATGGGGATTGTTACCGCACGCAGATGGCACATGAATAGCAAGCTGACAAGACAAGAGGAGGAAAAGATCTGGCTGAGCGGGAATCTTATATATTATTTATTTATTTATTTGAGTCAAAATTGACTTTACCGTCCCTGTTTTAATGGTTGCTAGGCAACATTCATTAGTGTGCTCTGCTGATAAGATTCACAGAGAGGTATGACGCAGACCAAACTTTGTTCAAAAGCTTTTAGGACTCTTCAGGGACTATTTTGGGGAACAATTGCCAACCCCCAGCCTTAATGCTTTTTGCCACTTAAACAAGACTGTACTGTGATGAAACACCTTCCCATTAAGTTAAAAGTTAAAATTTTCAGTCACCTACGTGACTGAAAATGACTTTACACAGGAGTTTTTAAAAGTTTGCTATCAACTGCCAGTGATTCTTACGGACCGACTAGTTTCTTTCTTCAGTTTTACATTTCAAATGGTACAAAACGTCTAATGGTACTCATTACCATTATCATCTAGTTAAACTTCCTTCATAGTTTATTGCAGTACTGTCTGCTTACCAAAATGGACAAAAACAAATCAGTCGTCCAAAATAATCAGATCTAATGATGATCTCAGACAACAGTGAGATTATTATTAAATTATTACTACTGAATGACAGACATGGGAAAGTCATGACTAGCCCCAATACTGATAAAATTAATTTACACTGCCACGTTACACACAAAATATGAAGATCAACAAAGTGTTTTGAGAAATTTAAAAAACATTCAAGTTAAAATGTGTATTTCCCCTCAACATAGTTGGTGGGATTTATCTGCTATTTTAATGTATTTTATTTATTTTCACTGACCTTTGCAAGTGAAATTTAACAACGATCAAAACAAGAAAGAGTCAACACTATACGGCAGTCAGTCCTATAGTTTTTTATGGCTTAAAACATACAGTTAATGTTACTTTACAATTATCGTCAATTTACCACAGGTGCCTGGAGTCCTGGAGCCTTTTTTTTTTTTAAAACACTTTAGGCGCTTTAGGCTACTTTTTTATTTGAGCACAGAGGCAGGAAACCAACCAGTAATCTTGAAAGCATATGTCTGCCCTTGTAAACCTGAGTGCATACATTGCATTTGTGATGCATGAACCTTTTTCATAGTCTCAGATTGAGAGCTCTGGGTTTCTGTGGTTAACGAGTGGAGAAAATCAAATTTAGCATTTGTGCCATTATTGGTGTGTGCTCTAATGAGTAGCTGTAAAAATGTCAACAACAGACCATCTAAC